ATTTTCTGATTAATATACTTTCTCTCTTCTTCTATATTATTGGACGAAGTCATATTCCTTCATCATATAAGGCCAAGCCATGGACCTCAACTGCTTGAACATTCCTTGCTCTGCATTCTCTTAGAATGTTCCACCCTTCTCCTCCTTGTTATATAGAATCTACCTATTGGGGGGATTCATCTACTGGTTCTAAACGTGTCTCGGAATCAAGGTAAGAAGGGAAGCTGGGGCTCCCAGGAAAATCTTCAGCAGACAAACATCTCTGACTGGGACCAATGGCGCGCAGGCAGCCTGACTTCTTCCTCTACAACAAACCTGGTTGTTATGGTGACAGGAGGTACGTAAAACAGGAAGGGGATTGTGAAATGTAACCATAGGAAAGGGGGCTTCTGGGCCTTATATAAGTCATTTTCTAAATAGATACCTTTGAATAAGAGGCCAGCGGTCGACAACCCAGCTCCCAGGCACTGCGAAGCAGCATGATGCCTACAAACCCCCTCGGATTTCTCCAACCCTGTCTCTGCCTTCATTTATGTTACTTTGGGGCTTTATGATCCTAAGAAGGGGCTCCAGTTACCAGAGATACCTGTGTTCAGAGAAAGGAGCACAGTACCAGAAAAATGACTCCCCAGGGGTAAATTGACCTTCCAAAATTTAAACAATTGATGGAATAATTACCTTGTCTTAAAAAAACAGTTGGGGAATGCAATTTATTCCCTCTGCTTCTGCTGGGTTTTAAAGAAAAGTCACACTCAGGCTATCCAAATATCTGTTGATTTTCCATATTTTCCCCCTTATCCTCAAAGCAAAGCTTTGAACGTGCAGGAGGAACTGAGGCCAGGGCAGCCTGTGGCAGGCGGAGTGAACACTGGTGAGAAGCGTGGAGTCCAGATCCAGCTCCTACTCTGCCAGTGAGACGCTTTGTGACTTGAGGCAAGTTAGTGATCTTCCTTACACGTGGTTCAGGGGGCCAGAGCCACTGTGTTCACATCTCACATAGGCTGCCCCGGGAGCTGTGAGTTACCCGTCTCCATCAGCATGATCTTAAAGAAAAGCTGGATAGACCACTTGGGAACTCCAAGAGCCAGCACTTGTCTAAGGCTCTCAGATGTCATGAGTCCTTGATGTGCATCATTTATGCCACGGCCATGACAATCCATCCAAGGAGGTACCTTGATTCCCATTTTACAGAAAAGATCTGAGAATGAAGCAACTTGGCCACATCCACAGCACAGTGGTCAGAGATGAGAGCCTTCACCCCAGCATGGCTGATCCTCCCTTAGGACCGCTTCCGAGAGATTTTTCAAACCAGGGAGCTAACTGGCATGATGATATGTAAGATCTGCACTTCTTTCAGGAAAATGGAGGAATAAATCAGAGGCTCTAATACCTTCTTATAGCAGGGAAGACCCTTTCCCTTAAGTGAAATCTTAAGTAGAGAACTAAAATATAATCACTGCAGCACCCTTTGGTGGAAAAGGGACATTCCACCCAAATGTCCAACACTGACAAATGGATGCCGAGATTTGGTCTGTCTGCCTAGTAGATATGGTCTGTCTACCATGAGGAGCACTGAAGTCCTGGCACCCGCTGCACCACAGGTGACCCTTGAGAGCATTGTGCTGAATCACAGAAGCCAATCACCAATGGCTGCACAGTACACGATTCTATTTACATGAAATATCCAGAACAGGGAATCCATAGCAGATAGGTAGTTGCCAGGACTCAGGAGCTAGGGTGAGGTGGGGGAATGGGGTGCTTAATGGGATGGGTTTTCTTTCAGAATGTCAAACATTTTGGAGCCACGTGGAGAGATGGTTACAGAACATTATGAATGGACTAAATGTCACTGGGTTGTACTTTTTTTGTGTGTAGGGCACTGAGGATTGAACCCAGGGCCTCACACATGCTAGCCAAGTGCTCTGTCACTGATCTACACTCTTAGCCCCCAAATTGTACACTTTAAAATGGTCAATTTTACAATGGATGAATTTGGCCTCCATATAGATGATGTTTCCAGAATCCTGCCCCATCAGCCCCCTTCCCATGTTCCTACAGTGCCTGCACAGAACCCTAGTATGGAAATCAAGAGAGTCACTAGATAATTGCTAAATGTTACCATAGTCAAAATAGTTTCACATGGCAGCTGTCTAGCAGATAATTCTAACACTGATTAGTAAAATGAGCACACTATAACGTGCTTACCATATATTAAAACTTTTCCTCATTGTTTCATTTAATGTCATTATCCCATAACTGAGGCTCAAAACAACTATGCAATATCCCCAAGGTCTCACTACCAGTTGATGACAGAGTCAGGATTCAGATCTCAGTCTATTTGGCTCAAGAGGAAGTGCTTTTGACCATGCCACGGTGGGTATTTGCAGGGTCAATTCCTCTCCCCTTAGAATGCCTGGGGACTACTTTTATTCCCACCAAGAAAAGGACCCAGGCTATAAGACCTGGGTGTGTGCAGAGATGTAACACATGGATACATGTCTGGTGCCCCCTGGAATGTGTCTCTGAATCTTTCCAGAGTGGGCTGGGAGCTGGGGGGGTTCAGGGAATCTATATGTTCTCTCAATTTGCATGGGGCAAGGAAAAACCCACGTTGACAGTCTGGATGATAAACAGTCCCCAAGGAGGAACTAATGAGGGACATTTCTGATCCCTTTTGCTCCAGAGCTGGAGGCAAACTTAGGATTGCATTTGTTTTAAGGTTTAGGTCAGATCCCATGCAAACACTAGAAACTGCTTCTAAAGGTAACTTTCATCCTGGAAGTCTATGTGACATCATTTAATGCAGGTGGAGTGACATGGTCTCATAACAGGACTTAGGATTCAGCATTACAACACTGCATTTTCTGTGGGCATAAACCTGGTGCTTTTTCAATTTATTCCTGAAACATTTCTAGACAAAGGAGTTGAGAATAATTTCAGCCTTTTACTCTGCATGGTAAAGTTCAAATGAATAATAATAATCCCTTATGCATAAATGCACTTTATAGATTACAAAGTGCTTTTATAGATAACCATTGCTGGGTAAAAAATAAAATAAAGTGAAATTAAGGAAAAATACCAGTAAATGGCATTTAGCTATTAAAATGTACCCTTACATTGTAAGTAAGAAAAGGGTGAGATGAAAGGGTTTTTTATATTAGAATTGAAGTCAGGTTCTTAAAGTTCTAACTGTTCCTACTTATCAATAAAAAAGTCAATGCATTTTAAATTAAAAATGAGATGCTGCTACTTATAACTTGATAAATTGTAAAATGCCTTTTTCATCCCTCCCAATCAATGGTCCTGTGTCCCACTGCTATTACACTGCAGACCTGCTGCTCATACAGATTATATAGGTGTAGGTAAAGGAATACAACCAAAAAGAGAAAAAGAATGCTAATTTTGTTTAAATACCATTAATTGCGGAATACAGTGCAAACCTCCCATCTCTTCATGTTTGGTGGCAGAGGTTAAGAAGGCTCAGGCCACATCTGGTTTTTGAACTTCTCATTCCCACCCAAAGCATCAGAATGAGAATGTGTCAAGGTCATCCTAAAAATAAACCACACCACCATGCTATACTGGCATAGAAAGCCACCCAGATCTCTCCGAGATCAATACTTTTTTTGAGAGATGAGCTTTATAACAATCTAACCAAATTGCCACCGACCATGGCTTCCCCCAGGGGATGGCATTACATACAGGTAGCACATTGTTCCACTGCCCTCAGGTCTGAGTTGCTCAGAGGATTGTGCAGCCCTGACACACCACTGCTTTGAAGCCACACCTGGCAGGACTGGTTCACACTAACCACACGTGGAACCTTTTCAGCGAGGGTCACCCGCGCTTCGCTCACTTGGACTCACTTGGGAAGACCTTAGCTGAACAGGCCATGAAGCCGAACCCTGCAGAGCGCATGTCCTGTAGGCGCAGTGCTGCTCACCCGCGGCTGCGCAGCAGGATCATCTAGGGAACCGAAAAATATCTGTGACCCGTCCCCAGCCCAGGCCAGCTTCTGTAAGTGCGGGGCGGGGGGCGGGGGTCCCCACACTGGCATTTTGAAAGCTCCCCAGATGGTTCCAATGTGCAGCCGAGAGAAGCACCGCTGTAGGGTGGCCCTGACGATATTTGGGCTTGAGCCCAGTTGGAGTTTCCTCAGGAACCTGCAAAAGAGCCCTTGCCTGGGGAAGCCGGGATCCCCCCAGGTCTTGAAGCACAGCTGAGAATGGCTTATGTGTCTGGGAGCACTTGGGTTGATCTGATATATCAGGGGTATGGGACGTGCTCTGTGAAATGCCTGGCTTTGTTCTTTCTGCCCAAAACATAAATAATGATATTTACTCAACTACCTTGTGACAACCTGGAATTTGGCAAAAACAGAATGAACAAAATACCCAAGTGAAATGTCATTCATTTCCAAGGCGACTGGGGTGGGGGGTGGGGGAGACATGGAACATAACCCATCCAGTGTCCCCACATAACGTCCCACTGGGTGGATGAGGATGGAGGCTTGTAACCAGTAAGTACCATACAAGTGTCAGAAGTTCATCACATCATTTTTTGGCAAATTTTGAAACTAAAGCAGCTTACAGGCAAGAACGTCAATACTGTGAAGAAAATCAAAAGGAAGTAACTAACTACATCCAGTTATTTGTGGCCTCTTCTGCATTTTTATTCCACCTTTTCTGTGCTTGAGGATTTCAAAGAAAAGCACCCCAGGAACAGTGGTGTGCACGCCCCTATCACGGAGGGAAAGTGAGAGTTTTACGGATTTAGATAACAGTCAGTTAGAAATTCATTCTGAACCCCAATTGTCAGATTAGTCCTGACTTTGAGTCACTGGTTGCTTGGAGGATTATGTTTATGAAATGAAAAGGTGATTTATTCCATTGTTTATTATGCAAATCTCATGTATTAGCAGGTTCCTTTGACTCACCTGCTTAGGACACAAAACAGTTAGGAAGCAGAGTTGACAGAAACGAATGACAGAAAATACTTACCGGTTCTCTTTCTTCTTCTTAAGGGGGTCCATGAGGCGCAGCGTGTCTCTGATCACAGCCACTTTCACCTCCTCATCCACAAGGCTGGGGACATTTTCGAACACCCCTGGAGAAAGCTTGAATGGGTAAGGATTCCGCATTACAGTGGGACCGTGATTCAATGCCAAGCTGCTATCAGTATGCCATCCTCCAGCTAGCCCGTGGGGTTGTACTGTTTTGCTTGTGCTAATCTATAGAGGAGAATTTTTAAAGTGCTCCCTTTATACTACCTTAGGAATGTCAATGCCGTTTTGTAAATTAACATAACACACCAAGAGAAGAAAGAACATTGTGCTTTTTAGATGTTCAAAATGATACAAACTCACTGTGGAAAAGCTGGAAATAGAGAAAGGGGTTAAGAAAATTAAAGGAATCCAGATAATTCCCCCAAGATCCAATACTAATATTGGGAGTATTTCCTTCCGGTTTTTTTAATGCATTTTTTGGGGGCGGAGGAAAATATAACGACTGTTAAATGTACTATTTATCTTAGTGATTTGAGCATGTCGACATGGCTAAATCATATTCATAGAATTTCAATTAGTTCATCTCCTGAGGCTAACTAATTAGTTCATGTCAAAACTGATGGAAAGGCTCAGCTGCTTCTAAGTTTCCAGACCTTAAAAATGGGAAGAATGGCATGCTGGGAAATTACCATAGGTCGGAAAGGTCTTATATTAATAGACTCTGTTCAGAGCTCAACAGAACGAAAATTATTTCACTCGAACAGAACTTTGCTGTGAAAATTCAAGAGAGCTGAGTCTTCTGTAGCCAATCGGACACCTTGAGAGTTAGAACCCTTGGTTTTATCGCAATATAGTCAAGGAGATGCTCAGAGTACTTACTTCACACTCATGTTCAATCCTCATGCTGGGATTTGCATTTACTTCAAGTAGTATGGGCTTCAGATTTTTCATCAGGAGAATGTCAAAGCCTAAGATCTGGGCAGAATAAACATGATTCAGAATCACTCCCTCCAGCCCCAATTTCTTTGCAGGAACTGAGTATGGTCTTCGCGTCATTGAGGGGAAAATAAATTCAAACGTGGTCCCCAACTTTGGCCTTGACCCTGGCTGCTCTTGTCCAGGGTCCCTGCTCCTCTGGGTGTGCTTGTCAGACCAAATGGATAGCAGAAAATTTTATAGAAACCTTGGTAATGGGATGCGTTCCCATCGTGCATTTCAGCACTATCTGTGTCGTCCAGAGCGCTGTAAAGCGATGACCTCTGTCCTCTTTAACAGGGTTTTTATTATGTTAAGGATTAGTGGTAGTCCATCAATTTCTCCCTCTGCCTTTTCTTCTGCCCTCCTTGATTAAGTCGCTTCTTAGCTAGATCTCCGAAAACCTCAGGCTGCCTTTCTTAACCTAGAGTACACATCACTGTCACGCAAGGAACCCTTTCAAATCCAGCACACTCCCCACCCCCACCTGCTGAGTCAGACTCGCTCAGGGGGGGGGTCCAGTCAACCCCTCAGGTGATCCAGATGTGTCCTGATAGTTAAGGAGGGGGCTGTGGATTAGGTACCAGTGACTATGCAGTGCACCAAGGCCTCATCCGTCATCTCATTGAATCTTCATGATGACGTCTTTGAAGGAGGGACTGTACTCCCCAACTTACAGAAGCAGAAACTGAACCTCAGAAAGACCCTGGGTACCCCCAACCCTGCCTACCTAGTAAGGGATAGCCTTGGCTTTCCAGCCTAAGCAGACTGATTACACGATATTTGCCACCCAGTATGGGATAAAAACATGGACCCCTTGCTGGAAAAGTCTTAACAATTTCATGATGATGACAGCAGCCTAAAGTCAGGACTGAAGCCATTTCTGAATGTGGGGCACTGTGTGGTAGAGCTCCACAGGCCACCAGCCCTTGAAGTGGCCCCTGCACCCTAGACTCCCTGCAGCTCATTTGTTGCACGCCTGTCCTTGACTTCAGCACCTGCCTGCCTTGGAGAGATCTTCTACTGGCCACTCTGGTTTCTTTTAATTCCTTAGGAGCCCTACTGTAGGTGGGGCTCAGCCACCACGTGCATCCTCATCTCTCTGCCTTAAACAGCCCTTCACCTGGATAAGTCCTCATTTTTGAGATCGCTGCTCCTAATGAGAATCTGACTCGAACGACGAGGACTTCAGATTCTCAGAAGGACTCTCATTATCTCTAGAGAAGTGATAATGCAGAAAGTTTCTAAACATGATTATACAACCCCAAAGTCCTAAAAAATAAGGTGGAGAATAAAAGAGGAAAAAGAAAACGATACGGTTGTAGACTCCCCTCCTCTGTAGACTCCAGAAGAAAAGATGAGGGGAATCCATTTACTTGTCTATATAGAATATGCATTAGTTAAATGATAATTATTAAACTGCAGCTTCATCTATATTAATGAAATCCAAGCCTGGATGACCATTTCGGGGAATGATTCAAGATGAAATTATGTTACAATGAAGGGCAATAAGGATGAGAAGTTGGGAAAAGTCATCCTCACTCTATTTTTCTTTCCCTGGTCATGAAAAGGAAGGAATGGAAATTCAGTAGAAAATGTTCCATGTATTATAGATCTGCTTAATAATATATGACAAGTGGGTATGAGTGATGAGGCCTTTAAGGGACCCTAGTGACATCATCAGCCCAACTTCAGATCTGGTCTGAGACGTGCGGCGGTGATGAGGCTACAGAGAGCAGCAGGCTGTGGTGCCAACATTTATCATCTTCAGTCATCAGCTCTTACTTTGTGCTACATCTTAGAAGTCTGGGCCTGAGCTTTCTCAGCCCGGAGGATTCTTTGCAGCTCCATCCCCCAATGGATCCATGAATGCAAATCATAAAAATGCTGGGAGCTGGAGAAGGATGTGGTGGTACCTTGTCCACCATATTAGCCTGTAACCACCGACATTATATTTTCCAGAACCTGAAGTTTGATGTATATTTTTAATGTGTTTTGTCTTGTACAGGAATGCTTTGGAGTTAGAAAGACCCAGGCTCCCATCATCTCTGTCTCTTACACTAATAGCTAGTCTCTCTGAACCTCAGCAATCTCATCTGAAAAATGGCTCCCAGAGTCATTGGTAACAGAAGTGAAAATAACATCTAGGCCTATGCTCATCATACAGAAGGTACTCAATATATGCTAACTCCCTTTCCAGTTTCCTACCAATTTCCCCAAGAAATGGGATTATTATCCTTTGGAATCATATTCTGGATCTACCTTTAACTTGTGTGACTATAGGCAAGTTAGTTGGTAGCTATAAGTCCTCGTTTCCTCATCTGTAAAATAGGAATATGAACAGCACTCACTAATCTTAATTAATTCATTTGACAAGTATTTACCAAAGGCTTTCTATGTCGCAAGAAAGCTTCCTATGTTCCTAGCTGCTGGAAATATCACAGTGAACTAGGAGAAGTGCCTGGCCTCTTAGAGTTTACACTCTAGTAGGGGAGTCAGGATCAAATAAAGATCATGCAATGGAAAGCATTTTGCACAGTGCTTGACACCTCGTATGTGTTTAATGAGGGACAGCTTTATTATATTTTTCACAAGTTCAAGGAAATATGAATTCTTTTCCTTTCAAAAGATCAACGAAATATTCAGGCATGGATAGGTATGGATCACAGTAAGCTGAATCACAGAACTGGGCTTATATTTGATCTTGTCATATAATCCCAGAAAGTCTCTGCTGGCAAAAAAAATTGGGAATTCACTTGGTCCAGTTTTTGTTTTTGTTTTCAAAATGGAATTCTCTTCTGGGAAAGCAGGGAGGATCAACGGTTACCTATTTTTCTATATGAGGATTCCCAGGGGGATACTTTCAAACTTTATTTTTGAGAAACCACTAATGTAGTCACCTGCAGTTTAGAAAGGGAAAGACATCTCTCTAAGTCTCTTTAACGGTGGCAGAGCAGGAATTATCAAATAGAGAGGTGTTTTTTGTTTTTTGGGTTTTTTTTTTGGTATTGGGGATTGAACCCAGAAGTATTTTACCACTGACCTACATTCTCGGCCCTTTTTATTTTATGTTTTTAGTTTGAGACAAGGTCTCACTAAATTGCTGAGGCTGGGCTAGAAATTGGGATCCTCTGGTTTCAGCCTCCCAAGTCACTGGGATTACTGGGACCCTGAGAGACAACTTTTTAACCATGTGAAATTCTACTGCGCTGAGAAATTCCTCCAGCAATTATGTGTTGAGCACCTTTTACCAGAGGGGTTTCCTGGGGGATTTAAAAATAGCTGTCCTTCTTGACTGACCTCTAGGAGCTTCAAATCAAGTTGGAAAGGGCCCCGAGCAGTTAATTGTAAATTTATGCATAGGCTCCAAGCCACAGTCCAATAAGAAAGAATTCTCTTCTGAGGCCCAGAGCTATCCACTCATCTGGAAGTTCCCAGACTCCTCAAATTCGACATATCCAAACTCACTACCTGCAGTCAGCAGTCTCTATCGTGGTCCCAATGAGTCCCACATCTCCTAGTATTTGTGTCTTCGTGCAGTTCCTCCACCCACTTGAGTGTGGGCTGCATCTAGTGACCTCTTCTAACAAACAGAACAGGGCAGGCAGGATGGGATGGTGCTTCTAATATTAGGTTATAAAAGAACTGTGGCTTCCATCTTGGGATGCTTTCTTTCACTCTGAGGAAAGTCACCTGCTGTGCGACAACGTGCCCTATGAAGTGGCCCAGGCAACAAGGAACTGATTTCTCTGGCCAACCTGAGGAACTGAGGCCTGCTAACTGCCTTGTGAGTGAGCTTGGAGGAGGATCCCCAAGCAACTTTGGGATGGCGGCAGCTCTGGCCAGCCTGTGGATTGCAGCCCCACGGGGGACTTTGAGCCAGAGGTAATTAGCTATATATATCTAGATCCTTGATCCACAGAAACTGTGCAATAGTGGATGTTTGCTGTTTTAAGCTGCAAATTTGTTATACAGCAATAGGTGACTAATATTCTATCTTCTTTCTCCAAAATCAAACTTGCTTCCTGTATTCCTTATCCACCCAGCCCAACAAATCCAAACTTCTCTCTTCATCCCTTACAACTAGCTGGTCCCCAACTCCTGTACTCTCTGCCTCCTAAGAGCTTTCTAGACGTGGCCATCACCACTGCTCAGACTCTGTCGGGTCTGTGCCACCTCTCCCCTTTTCCCTGCTCTCGGACTCCCCACTTGAAATCATCTGGCACAAGGCGGTGCCAGAGTAATTTTTCTAGAACACAAATAGAATATTAATAATCCTCTGCCTAAAATCTCTGCCCACAGAATGAAGCTCAAGTTGCACGGCACGTCCTACAGTGTCCTCCAGGACCTGGAATCTGTCACTCTCCAGCTTTATCTCCTCCCCTCACTGCTGCACACCTTGGGCTCTGACTGTGCTGACTGCTAGTGGTTCCAGGATGCTTTACCTACCACTCTCTGCCTCTCCACTCCTCTGCCTGGATGGGGTTATGTTTTTATCTATCAAGTATTTACTGAACACCCATTAGATACCAGGCACTGTTCTAGGCACTGGGTTAAAGCCGTGTGCAAGATAAAGCTGCTGCCGTCTTGGGGCTTATATTTTAGAGGGTAGAGAGTCCACCGGCAACTAACAGTTAGAGCCAGGTAAGAATGCACAGTGACACAGTGGATGGAGCGGGGAAGGGTTAGTGCTCTAGGTAGGACACCAGACAAGGTCTTTCTAAGGAGGTGGCCTTTATCATTCCATTGTCCTCTGGCTTGCACAGTTTCTGGTAAGAACATTATGGTTATTCTTTGTTCCTCTGAGCATAGTGCATCTTTTCCTCCTGGCTGCTGGGAAGATTATCCTATCACTGATTTTCCACAATTTTATTATAAGGCTTGGGGTGTGTGTGTGTGTGTGTGTGTGTGTGTGTGTGTCCTACTCCAGGCTTTTCTACCTTCTTGGATTGTGAGTCCATAGTTTGTATCAAATTTGAGAAATTTCAGCCATTACGTCT